GTCTGAAAAACGGCACAAACTTTCGGACCCACCTAATAGTTGATCATCAATTATAAAAGCAAAATGTTTGTGCAAAAAAGTCTGACAAGCAAAAAAAGCTACCTGTATTGCTGCACTGCTGTAGTAAATATGCAGCGTCGGATCGAAATTGTGCACGAACGGGGCTCCCTTGGGCAGCACGCGAAGGTGCTCGGGATTCCTGGTCATGGATGCGTCTTCCAGAGGGTTTTCGTGTGATTTGAGAGCTCTAAATAGGCAGGAATTTCAGATGCCGAATTACTGATCGCAGCAATAACCTTTTGATAGCATCCCCTCTAGAAACGGGCTCGCGGTGCTCCACTACGCTCACTTCAAGCCATAACGGCTTTGGTTCCTTGCTGTCTTGGCTAAGCTGCGAATGAAAAGCTCTGAATATTACGCTCATAGCTGAGTGCAGTGGCAGGAATTAGCGCAAGATCTCACCTCTCAATAGTATTTCGTCGAGAGGACGCGCTTTTGCGACTGTGTGCTAGCACATGGGAAGCATAAATTACCATTAGAGTGCGCGCTGTCGAATTGCATTTTGCACGATGAACAGGGGGACAGGGATCTGTCGAAGACTTATGACCCACAACCTAAACACTTGTCTAGATTGAAATTTCAAAACGAGTTGCGACAGATAAATATAGATTATGCTTGCGAATGTATCTGCGCCTTTAAGCCTAAGGGGACGGATATAGGTTGCTGGCAACGGCTGCTGAGGTCGGCAGAGTTGCCAGCGTCAGAGATAGCTTAGAGAGCGCAGGAAACGTCGAGACTATCATGAAGTCCTACGATGAGTTATGCATATACCGAACGACAGATGCTGATGTAAACAAACAGCAAACAAATTACTGGACAATGCGAGATAGGAAACTTATGTCAAATTCAACTGAGAAAGAAAACAAAAAAACTAGAGAAAGGTACATAATCAGGCATACCTGATGCTGCTCATTTTCCACAGCGAACTGTGCTTGTATTCTATCAGGGAAAACTATATTCTCATTGGAATTCTGTAGAAAAAGTAGTTATCAAAGCCAAAATAGTATCAAAGAGATTACCTTATTCATTGTCACTCACATTCTCCTATCAAGACAAGCATTCGACCACTTTTTACAATTATATAGCCTTTCACTTTACTTTCAGCCTAAAAATATATTATATCTTGTCAACGCCCCCTTATCCGAGAAAAAAAACTATTTACATTTTCTCTATGACATTTAGAAAAGGAGCAATTGTCGGGGCAATCATATTTTGCTCCACCTTCAGCGCCTCCATATTCAGACAGTGAGATCTCGTCTTGCGGAGAAACCGGATGTGCAAGACGAGGACAGTCAAGAAAACAAGCTTGTGATAGGATTGACCTAGAATGAATTAATCTTGGAAAAAGCTGCAAAAACAATGCTCAAAGAATTCACACATAAGAAAAAATCTGACTGTGGCCAATACTGTGTAAGACTTCACAGGGGCCACATACGGTTAGAAAACATCCATCCTAACAAGAGCCTCCTTCAAAGATCGCCCTCAAGAGGGATCTTCCCTCCGGGTTAAAGTAAAGAGGCTTCACGTAGTAGTTTTTCCAGCGAGCAAAGCAAGACAACTGCAGACTTTCGAGCACCCCTACTTAGATATTTACGTTATCCGAACAAACAAAAGGGAAGCTACCTTAGCTCAAATCCGATGTCATAGTGAAATCGTCGGTTACCAAACGCCATCGGACACATATGATGTGAGACCAACAAATCGGCTTAGTTGA